CCAGCCATTCCTGCTTTACCACCAGACCCACTTCCATATCCATACCCTTCATAACCCTCTCTCCTCATCTTCTTCCCACCACCACCACTGCCACCAACATCCTCATCGTCATCAAACTCCTCCTCATAAAACTCCCTCGCTCTCCCCTTCTTAACCGTCGCAACCGAAACCGGTCCCACCATCCTATCCGCCCCACCGGAATGATACCCATACTGCGGCACAACCGCCACATGGTGCCTAGGCGCTAACGCCCCGCCCAAAATACTCCTAACTGGGAGCAAAAAGTAAAACTCTTTATCTCCGATTTGCAACAGATCTTGTGAATCCAACTTGACCGGAGGGTTTCCTGGGAGGTGGAGTACGCCTTCGACTAGGCAACCGTTCTTGCCGAGTACTTCAAGTGCGAAACGGCGTCGCGTGAAATCGTAGAAGATGCGCGCGTGGTGGCGTGATATGTTCATCCCACCGCCAAGGCTTGAGAGGTCGACATCGACGGTGGATTTTTTCGAGTTCCGGCCTAAGATTATTGAGTATGTTTGCATATAGTACTCGAAGTCTTCTCCTTGTAGCTTCGCAAATCCGGCCTCTACGTCGCTTCCCGTCGCCCCCATTTTTTTTCCGACTGGAAGAAATCGACCCTGATTTAGGGATTTTGGAATAAACGACTCGTCGCTTCGCTTTTCACATACAAGGCAAGAAGCGAGGAAGTGGACTCTGCTCAGGACGAAAAGCAATGGGGTTTTTAAAAAATTATATTTTCATTTTGAGAATATATTACTAGTTTCCAGAACTTCGGGGTTAAATATCTTTATTATTTATCAAAAACATTTCATGTATTTTTATAATTTAAAAAAGTTATACACATGTAATTAAATAACTACAACTATATAAGATAATAAATAAATAAATAATTATTAATAATATTTAAAAACAAAATATAAAAAATATAAAAAACATATACAGATTAAAATATTTAATCTCATAAATATTTAACTTGATTATATTTGTTAATTTTTAATAATTAAAATATTTTTATATTTAATAAAATGATAATAAAAATAAATAAATATATTAGATTGAATTAATAAAAAATAAAATAATATGTAAGTGTATATATATTAAAAATATTATATAAAAATAAAATATTTTTTATTTTTAAAAACATAGTTAATCTATATAAAATATAAAAAAATTATAGATTAATTAGAAAAAAAATTTAAAAATTAAATATATAATAATAAAATTATTATTATTTAAAAAAATCTTTTAAACAAAATAAAAAAGATAATAAATATTAATGTAATTATAATTAAATTTAAAAAACAATAAACAAAATTCATTGAAATAGAAAAAATAAGAGGAAAAAAGGATCGCATTAGCTCATCTGCCCATTTCATCAAGGCTCACGTGTTCTAGGCTCTTTTTTTAATCTGCATCTAGGAAGGACCACATGTAGCCTGTTTTTATGTAAATTTGATAGTTAAAAAATTAAAATTTATATTATTTTAATTTAAAATTTTATTTTTTAATATATTTTTTACTCAAAATATATATAAAATATCTTAAAAATCATGATAAATTTATTTATAAACTAAAAAAATTCTCAAACAATTGAATTAAATCTAAAACAAAAAATCAACTCGAATTGAAATATGGTTTTTATGATGAATTTTTAAAATACAAAAACATTTAATATGAACTAAACTCGTTAAATAAAATAATTTAAAATAAATATTTTTTATTTTAATGATAAAAATCAATGTCAATAATATTTTTTTGTTATTGTTGAAATTCAGGATTTTTTTTCTCTTAATCAAGGATAAAAAATAATAAAAATAAATTTTTATACTAAAATAAAAATAAAAATAAATTAAATTTTAAGAAATTAAAATTATATAATTTATATCCTTATTTAAGTTTGATCAAAATAAATTTATTTCTGAAAGCTATAATATGCCATTTATGTTTGTCACTTTTTTGTTTTTTATTTTTTTCTTTTTTCTTTCAATCTTATTTTTTTTATAAGAATTTGAAGTTAATTATTTTTTAAATAGGATTAAAACACCAAAAATAATTAAAAAACTGAATTAAAAAGATATAAAATTTTGAAGAGTCCATCAACAGTAAAATATGAGATAATAAACAGTTAAAAATGCACAGCGAGTATAAGGTAATATATTCGTTCCAGTTTTTTTTCAATGAACATATAAACGGCGCCGTTTTGAACTAGGGATAAAAATCCCTGGTTCCCAAAATAGGCAGCCATACACAGATCTTCATCTGTTTCTTCTCGTTAGCCCTCTTCCCTTCACCGAATTGGCTTCTCTCCAATCTCCATAAGTAAGTGAACTTATATTTATCTTCCTTTTATTTATATTGCATCACATGTAGGTAAAATTTATTACTCTGAATAATTATATATTGTTTTCTTTATGAATTTATTAACGAAATATTATTTAATTTCACAAAATTGATTACTCTGAATAATTGTTTATTGTTCATGGTAAAATGCAATTGAAATCTGTGCTTTTTTTTTATCTGTTTCAGCAACAATAAAGAACAAATTGGTGTTGGAACTTTGATGTGTTTTTCAATTTTGTCTTTCGGCACAGTATGATCCTTTTATAAATTTATAGTAAGCGATGATGAACTGCATGATGAACCACTTCTGTCACTCTCTTATACAATTTGTTCTTTTTTTTAAGTCTACTATAGTTTTGATCTTCTACATCTCTTTGGCATGACTCATGGATTGGCTCTGCTTATCTCAATAATGCCTTTGTGAATTCGTTTGCTTTAGCTTAGGACAAGCGTAGCAGAATTGCATGTATGGTGAATTGGAGTAGCAATTCAAAGTGGTGGAAACTTAAGTGAAGAAGACTATTACTGTCTAGGGAATCAATTCAAGTGATCTGACTTTTGATTTCACCAGTCCATCTGAATGAAGAAAAAAGAGATCTTCTGGTTTGGAGATATGATAGCAAAGGACTTTTCCCAGTTAAGGCCTGCAATTATCTCATGAATTCTGTTATGCTCTTTTTTTTGGTTAAATCTAGCACCTCTAAAGTTGAAGCATCCACATGGTTGACAGCGTCAGATAGACTAAGCACTAGAGATGTTTTTGCTCACAGAGGAAATCTTTGCTGTCGTGGAGAATTGTTTCCATTTTGAAGTCTTCATAATGAGACATTATCTCATGTGATGCTTCATTGCCGTGGAATGTGGTTGCTTTGGGATAGAATTATGAGTAGGTGGGGGTGTGGTTTGGATTATGCGATATTTAGTTGATGAGTTGTTTCTTGGAATGGAAGTTTTTGTTACTGGACAAATGCAAAGAAGCCAACCCATGGGTCATGCCAGAAAGATGTTAGGTTTAGTCTCCTGAGGAGCTAAGTTCATATCAGGGTATAAAGCTAGAAAATGTGGCTTTTTGTGTTAGTATTATATTTGAGCAGATGCAGTTGCAAGAAGTCAATGATGAAGAATTGAGCTTAACATGAGAGTTATTTGTCCAAAATGTTAAGTGTTTTGGCTCAACTGATAACATCCCGTGGGTCAAGTTCAGAAAAAAAGTTAAATTTTAGTATTGGCTTTTGACATATTGGGTTTACTACTCTTTCAAGTTGGGACTCGGGAACAAGAAATATGGGAACTTCTAGGACATAGAGGAAAAACAATGTAGTTCAGTTTTTAACCAATTAAATATGGAATGATGAAATTAGGTTAAAAATTGTCAAAGAAAACTGGTATGAGTTAACCGAGTTAGTATAACAAATATGTAACTTGGGTAATAAGGGGCAAGCCAACCCGAGTTAACACATCAATCATGTATCTTAGATCATGAGATCAGGATAACCTGGTAGAAAAGAAATTAAAGAAAACACAGCCCATTTTTTAATTAAAAAAAAACAATGTCGAATGATGAAACCAGAAAAGAAAATAAGTAAAAAAATAATATCAAGCCGTGTTAACTTTTTAAATTCATGACCCATGTTATTAAACTAGAAATATCATACACATAAAATTATGAAACCTAATCCTTAATCAATCAAATATTGAAGGATTAGATCGGA